CCCTGAGCTTCAGGACCAAGACTTGACCCCCTACCCATCTCCTCTGAATCCTCACGCTGTAGCTCCCCCTCCCCCCAAACACACCGTAGAGGATCAGTAAGCATCTGCCTCCTGTGGGAATGCTGCCCGGTGAGCCCCCAGCTTTGCAGCGGGAGAGCAAGGCTCAGAGATGCTGCCCCTGCTGCGGCCACACAGCTCTGCGGGTACTCCCACCAGGGCCTGTGAGCTCCAGGTCTGTCCAGGCCACCCTCCCCGCTGTCTCCTCAGGGGCAGTGGAAGTGGGCAGGCCTGGAGGGGGCCCGGGGCTGAGCACCGGGAGAGGGTGAGGGCAGAGCTCCAGGCTGGTCAGAGAGGGGCTGGCAACAGGAGCTGTGGGGAGGTGCCTCGAAGCCCTGGGGCTGCCCCAGGCCAGGCCGCCAAGGGACTGGGGCAGGACAGCGAGAGGAGGCCCCCTCACCAAGGAGAGGAATTAATGGGGCTGCCCGTTTTAAATTTCAAATTTCTCCCAGACAGATGTCATTGGGGAAGGAACAGTTCGTGTTTGTGCGGCAGGAGGGGGGCGGCAGGGGCGGCCGCCATGGCCCCTCACTGCTGGCAGCAGCGACCGCTCATTCTGCCTGGAGCAACTGCCCTGGCGTGGGGCCCCGCGCTCTACCGTTGGCAAAGCCCACTTCCCACAGCAGCCTGGGGACTGGGCAGGGGTACGCATTCCCCAGGCACAGAGGGCGGGTGGCTCAGAGTGGCAGAGGCGAGTCACAGAGCACGTTAGCGGGAGAGCAAGGCTTAGAAGCCAGGCCTGACCCCAGGCTCCCCGTGCCTCCTGGGTGGTCTGTTCCCTGCTAGGTCAGGTCCACGCCCAGGCCATCCCCAGATAGCCTTCTCTTGCTGAAATCTGACTCTCTCCCCTCTTAGCAAGAATAGTCTTACCTTCTAGACATGTCAATCAAGGCCACCCCCGCTGGGCCCATTCTTCCTTTTTATTAGCCCCCTTGCAGGTACCAATTGCCTGTCGTTTGCCAACCCCTGGTCCCACACAAGGATGTCCATTTCCAAACCTCTGTTGTCTCATCTTGTTGGCGGCACTAGCTCCCCAACACACACACACACACACACACACACACAGAACCCTTCCCTTAGGGAAAACCTACCACATGCCTCCTCCTTCAGGAAGCCTTCCCTGATGCCCAGAGGTATTTCGCCTGTGCTGCTCAACTGCCTTGTGCCCTAGCCCTGAATCTCTCCTCTATCAGGAGCTTCTGTTGGACACATGCTCCTTCTGTGCCGCCAGCCTGGGGTCTCCCCCAGGACCAGGCTCCTGCCCTTTGGGCAGCTCAGGTTGGGAGCTGAGGGATATTTGTTGAATTGAACGGCATGAAGCCTCAGCCAGGAAGAGCTGCGGGAGAGGAGCCAGCCAGGGCTGCTGTGTCTCAAAGGGAGGTGGCTCCTGAGGTATCTGTTTGGAATGTGGTGTCAGGGCCTCCTCGGCTGCTCCTGGGGGACACACTCCAGCTGTGCCAGGCCAGGGTCCAGCTGCCTGCCCTTTGGCATCAGAGGCAGCTGAGGGCTGTGGCCGGGATCAAACACTGCCTCACCCCCAGCTCCTTCGTGCCCCAGCATGTAGGCGGCTGTGCACTGTGCCCGCTCCAGGCTTGTCTGAAGCTTCGAATAAGAGGTGAGGCCTTTCCTGGGCCCTTTGTCGAAAGGGAGAGCCTTGCCTGGCCAGGGTTGCCCAATGGTTGAGCTTCATACCATGAACCAAGAGGTCACTGGTTCGAATCCCAGGCAGGGCACAGGCCCAGGTTTCGGGCTGGATGCCCAGTAGGGGGCGTGCAGGAGGCAGCCGATCGATGTTTCTCTCTCATCGATGTTTCTATCTCTCCCTTCCCCTCTTTCTAAAATCAATTTAAAAATATTTTTTTTTAAAAGAAAGGGAGAGCCTTTATGGCCCAGCTTCCCTCCAGGCCTGTTCCCCGGGGCCCTCCTAGTTCATCTCGGCCATGGGCATGCTGTGTGAGTCTGGGTAAGTGACTCCCCCTCTCCGGGTCTGGACTTGACCATCTGTAAAATGGATCCACAGTCCCTGCACCCCCCTCGCTTCATGAGGGCTGCTAGGGGTGTCACATGAAGTAATGGTGTGTTTTTGCAAACCGTAAAGCATTGTGCACCCTCCAGGGGGTGGCTCTCACAGCAGCCTGTCGCCTTTGGCAAACTGTCAGTGTCCGGATCACCCCTCTGCCCACCAGGAAAAGTGACCTGACCTCCCAGCTCCCAGCTGCAGGCCCTCCCCCCTAATCTTTGGGACCCGGAGTTTGAGCAGAATAACCAGCCCCTCACTCTGGGGATCTGAGCTCCTTCTCTTCCAGGGCCAGGGCCTCAGAGTCCAACCCCAATCGGGAACCGTTTGCCCAGGGGTGGGCTCCTGGGGGAGGTGACGGGGACTCCCAGACCTTGACCAAAGTGTTCTGCTCTCTGAGCCTCAGTTTTCCCGTCTGCAAAATGAGTCCCGCTGCGGGGGTTATATGCAGGTTCCAGCGGCAGGAACACGGTACAGACCCCATCAGCCCACCAGGGAGCCCCTGCTGGGCCCCGGCCCACACACCATTCGCCCTGGTTTTTCCCAGCTGAAGCCCCACAGCGTGTCTCCATCCTGAACAGCCTGCCTTTGGCCGGGCTGCCCCTGGGAGGCGGGGCTGGGAGCGCTGTGCCTGGCCTCGGCCTCCCGGCCTCTCCCGGAGGGAGGCACCCTCCTTCCTCCTGGTACCGGGAGCCGGGGCTCAGGCCACAGGCGCAGCGGTCACCGGTTCCCTTCGGTAACAAGGAGCAGGCGGTGGCGGCTGGACAGGCTGGGCTGTGAGGCCCTTCCTCGGAGCCCCCCTCCCGCTGCCGCACCCCATGTCCACTTCCGGAGGCTGGCGGCTCAGGAGGCAGCGGGACAGATGCCGCCCGCAGTTGAGGCACCTCTGGGGCTTCACGAGCCCATCTCGTCCTCACCGGAGCCAGGACTCCCTGAGCAGCCTGGCCGTGGGCCGGCTGGCACTGGGGGTCACACAGGAGACAAAACCATGTCCCTCCAGTTGGGGCAGCAGGAAGCTTGAACCCGGGGCTCCTCTCCTGCCCACTTCCGGGGACACCTGCCCGGCCTCCCGCTCCTCCCCACTGGAAGGGGGGCCCGTGTGCCCCGCCCCGCGCCTGGCAGCCAGCAAGGTGCTTGCCCGCTCCCCCACGGCCAAGGCTGACTCAGGCCGCACCCCGCGGCACGCTGGGTTCTCAGGCCCAAAGCCCCCGTGTTATCTCGGGCAGATTCCTTTGCAAGGCACGTACATGGCAGCCGATAAGCGCGCAGCACTTCATGTGTGAGGTGATCTCGGAAGACTAATTCTTCTCCGCTGAGTGGCGCATTTCATCTCCAAGTTCCGTTGCTGCCCTGCCCCCGGGGAACCCCCTGCAGCTTTCCTGAGCCCCTCCTCTCCTCACGACCCTGCCTTCCGGCCAGGGACCTGGGCTTGGGCAGAGTGGGTGCCGAGAGGGCCGGGGTCCCGGAGACACGGGGACTTGGCCGCTCTGCCTCGCCGGCTGGACGTAGGTGCTCGTCAGGGGGAGGAATGGCTCTGAGCTGTCGGGGAGGGTCCCGGGGGACCCGAGAGGGGCCTGACCAAGACCTGCTGGTGACACACAGCTTTGTCTCCCAAACCCCAGTCCCACCCCAGGCAGAGGGCGGGACCCTGTGAGGTTGCTCAGCGAGTAGCCTGGGCACGGATGGTGAGATTCCAGAGTCACCCGGCCCTGGGTTCAAGCGCTGGCTGGGCCATTTGCCTTCCGAGTGACCGTGGGCAACGTCTTCTCTCTGAGCCTCAGTTTTCCCATCTGCAAAATGAGCCCCTCCTCGCAGGGAAGTGTTTGCAGGTTCCAGTGGCAGGAACACGGTACAGACTCAGAGGACAGCAGTGACAACGCGGTGCCCACTGGTCCGGAGGCTGCTGACCGCGGTGACTGGGGGGCTGGGACGTTGCCACATCTGTGCCAGGCCATCAGAGGCGGCCACAGGGTCAGAGGTGCCCTGCTGCGGGGTCCAGGGCTCAGCATGGATGTCATGGCCTCCACATGTTCCCCACACCAGTGTGGCCAGGGGAATGACCCAGTCCGCCTGCTCTTCATCCACCCAACAGCCAGCCCCTCTGTGCCAGACAGCGAGCAGGTGCCTGCCCTCAGGGGGCTCCTGGTCCAGGGCACATCTCCTGGGCCTGGGGTTGGCGGCCCCCGAATGCCAGCAGCCTTTATCCCCCCCAAAGGGATCCGTGCCCCCCTCAAAGACGGTTAACAATCACAGCCTATGGGACAAGCGCTCCCTCAGGGCAGGGCAAGGACAGCTCTCCACTACGGCCTCCTCAGGGCCTGGCTGGAGCCTAGCTCATGGGGACACCAGTGAACTCCGGCTGGATGTGTGGATGAGTGAATGAATGAAGTCAAAGCAATGACTCAGTGATAAGTACCACTGAGGGGGCAGCAAGGGCTATGGAAACGTGAGGAGGAGCCCCTCCTCAACTGGGAGGAGGGCTGAGGAAACAGTCAAGGGAGGCTCCCTGGAGGAGGCGGCATCTAGTTAGGCCAGTGGACGAGGAGCAGGAGGAGCGGGTGCGTCAGGCGCAGCACGCAGCCTGTGCAGAGCTGCCGGAGGGGAGCCACCATGGCAGGTCTGGCTGCAGTAAACCGTCTTTTATGTGTGGAGCCCGGGGTGGATGGCGCCCCTGGGGCCTGGACAGGTGTGGAGAGGGAGGCCTGGAGCGAGTTGGGGGGCAGTGTGTCCCCATCCCTGCAGGTTCAGGCTAGGGCAGTGACGTTCACCCTTGTTCATCTTCACAGCACACATAAAGTAATTATTAAAATTACGCGGCACACCAAAAAAATACTTTTTGCTGATCTGACCAAAAATAGGTATAATTTTGATTGATTTACACACACACACACACACAAATGGTACAGTAATTACCTATCCTTTTTGCTCCAAAGTGACTTTTAAAAAAATTCAGGTGCCTATACTTGTATATAAAAATTTCTGGTACCAAAAATTAACCAGTCACACACAACCTTACTATTCGACCTGACCAATAGATGCAACTCTATTATATGACCTACACATGGATGGGTCAAGACAGAGCATTCACACCGACAGCTAGTGTTGTGTTGGCTTGTTGTCTTTTTTTCTTTTTCTTTTTCTTTTTTTTTTTTGACAATCTAAGGGAAAAAGGTCAGTGCCCCTGACTGGCCAGGCATTGCATGTTTAGGGGATTCTTGCGGCACCCCGGCTGAAAATCGCTGGGCTGAGGAATTCTTTCCCTCATCTCGCCAATAACTCGGGTGGCTTCCTGGGGGTCTGCGTGCCACGGGCCCTCCCCCGGACCCAGCCCCCTCCCGTGGCCGGAGCACGCTCGGGAGTCCTGCAGCGTCTGCGTTTGCGGAGAAGAGGCGGTTTGCGCTCCCACATTTCCTCACAGTGAGCTCTGTTGTGTGGTGTGAGAGGACGCACTCTATGTCACTAAGCAAGCCAGCAAGCTGTCAGTTTCAGCTGTAAGATGCACCCCAACGTCAGAGATGTTAAAATGTGGAAAAAAGAGGGAAGGTGCGCCCGGCACCAGCCACACACAGGAATAGCACTTTCGGTGGAAAATAAAAAACCAGGCGCTTCCCGCTGCTCCGTGCCCGCTGACCAGGAGGCAGTAAAAGCCACTGGTATTCCCTGCCCACGCCCATCGCGCCAGGAGCAGGCTAGGCGCCTCGTGCACCAACTCATTTAAAGATGCACCGAGTCCAGAGAGTTGAAAATGTGGGGAAATTTAGTCTTTAGGGGCAGGAGGCAGGAGGCTGGGGGTCGAGTCTGAGCTCTGCTTCTAATGTGCTGTGTGACCCTGGGCAAGCCCCTGGCCCTCTCTGGTCTCCGTTTCCCCAGGCGTCAGGTCAGGTGCTCGGCGGCCTTCTCCAAGCTCCCTTTGGGCCGTGGCAGACTGGGTCCAGTGAGTCTGGGTTTGCCACTGTGTCTCGGTGCTGCCAGCTGCACTTGGGGCCCAGCTTCCTGTGTGGCCAGCGCCCCCTGCGTCCAGAGCCCAGTTCGAGTTCTTCCCTGGCCCGCGGCCTCCATCCTTTTCCTGGTCTGGGAGTCACAGCTGCCCTGTCGCCCCAGCCCTGGCCTCCTGAGAAGGAGGGAGGCCTTTCCCGCCTGCGCGGTTCTCTGCCCCGGGGTGTGTGTTCTGTGGAGAGCAGACCCCGAGGGCTCGCTGGGGAGGACGGTCCTGCCCTGAGCCGGCTGAGTGGGGCGGGGCAGGGCCAGCGACAGGGCAGGGTCACCCTCTGCATTGGTGTCCCTGTTCTGCCTCGGTTTCCCTCTCCATCCTCTCCAGCTCTGTGTCCGGCGTCTCTCGCTCTCTCGCTCTCGCTCTGTCTTTGGGGCGGCCCCTTCTCTGTCTCACGTCTCTGTCTCTGTGACTCCCTTCCCCGAGAAGGGCCCTCCCTGAGCCTGGTCCAGAGGCCCCGACTGGGGCTGCCGGGTCCTCCTCACGGGGGCAGAGCTGCAGGCCCGGGTCTGCCCTGATGCTGCCTCTTCTGTCTCCTGTCTGTCTGTCTGTCCGTCTGTCCCTGTGTCCCTGTGCCTGGCTGCAGCGGCCGAGCTGTGGCTACGTGCTGTGCACGGTGCTGCTCTCCCTGGCCGTGCTGCTGGCCGTGGCCGTCACCGGGGCCGTGCTCTTCCTGAATCACACACACACGCCCGGCACGGCCCTCCCGCCCGTGGTCAGCACGGGGCCGGCGGGTGCCAACAGCGCCCTGGTCACCGTGGAGAGAGCCGACAGCTCGCGCCTCAGCATCCTCATCGACCCGCGCTGCCCCGACCTCGCCGACGGCTTCGCCCGCCTGGAGGGCGCCCAGGCCTCCGTGCTGCAGGCACTGACCAAGCGCCAGGCCGAGCCACAGCTGGTGGGCGAACAGGACCGGGAGCTGCTGGACACGCTGGCTGACCAGCTGCCCCGCCTGCTGGCCCGGGCCTCGGAGCTGCAGGCGGAGTGCGCGGGGCTACGGAAGAGCCACGGCGCGCTGGGCCAGGGCCTCGCTGCCCTGCAGAGCGAGCAGGCCCACCTCCTCCAGGTAAGGGGCAGGGTACCAGCTGGAGGGCTTGGCGGGAGGATGGGGTTATTGCTACTGTGGGCCAGCCCTGTGCTGGGCACGGAATGCCCTTGGCCTCACCGATTCCCCCAGTGGCCTGGGACCAGGGGCGGTGGGTATTCCTGTAGACGGGCAGACAATTTATTCGTGTGGCACCCCTGGCACCCAGCAGTCAGGGCTTCTGGGGCCTCCCAGGGGCTCAGTGCAGATAAGATGCTGGGGAGGCTGATCATGACCTTCAGCAGCAAATTGAGGTTCAAGGTCAGTGGCAAGCCCTCTCCCGGTGCTGCCACATGGCCAGAGAGAGCGGCACTCACTCCCCAGATCTACCCTTTTCACTGCCCAGCTGTCCAGGGAAGGAGGGACCAGTGAGGGGCCCAGCAGCCCCTCAGCCTGCCCACCACACCCCGAGCCAAGCCAGGCCCCAGGCAGCACCGACCGGGTAGAGCTGGGGGAAGTTTCCAATGCTGACCGCCTGGAGCTCAGCAGGAACTCGCCGCCTCGGACCAGGGTTTAGGGGCCTCTCATTGGTCTCCCACCACTTTCATTGGGAAAAACGGGCCCAGAATGGGGCAGGGGTTCCCCCAGGTACAGTAGCCCGGTCAGTCCTGGCCTCTGACCTCCTGGCACCCGGCCCAGCCTCCGCCTGCACCCCGTCGCCCCGTGACTCGGGTCCTTAGAGACTAGGAGACAAGCCCCGCCCCTGACAACAGCCCCAGCCCCTTCCGGACACCGGGAGGAGCAGGTGTGCGGTCACCCCACAGCACCTGAGCAATGGCTCTCTTCCTCCCCTGAGGCTGCAGCTGGAGGACTCACAGTCCTCCTCTCCCTGCCTGGGTGACTGATGGGAAGGCGGCTTCCCTCCCGGGTGAGGGGTGGGGTGCTCAGCTGCCACGACAGCCCTCTGCACATCCCTGCCCCCATCAGCAGGGCTCAGGGGACCTCCAGAATTCTGGGTGATCTGGTCCCCCACCTTGCTCTCCACGTGGCTTGGCCCCTGGTCAGCCAGGCTTGGCCCACAAACGCCTCACCTTCGGGCCAGGGTGGAGGCTGGGGACGGGCCTGGGGTGTCCCGCCCACCTGAGAGGCCAGGGTGCTCCTGCGAGACTGATGGCTTTCCTGGGCCCAGGCGGGCTCTGGCCCCTCTGACATGTCCTCCTCGAAGCCACATTTAATGTGACGCATCTCCCGGGACCCGGGTGGTCTCAGAGAGCGTGTGTCCTGCGGAGCACGTCACCTAGCTGCTAGCTCCTCTCCACGCTCCCAGGACCTCAGCCGGTCAGCCTGCACCCAGGTTTCTCAAAGCAGTGCCCACGGCCCCCTCAGAGCCGCCAGAGCCGCTGGTGAAAAGGCACATCCGGGACCGCACCCCAAACTCCCAGGTCCCCACGGCCCAGACGCACCAGGGGACACGCGCACACGACTGAGGCCCCTGGCCCGGGAGGTTCGGCTCTCAGGGTCAAGTCCCCGCTGTGGGGCCTTGGGCATGTCAGGTGCCCGCCCGGTGGGTCTCCTCACCTGTAAGATGGAGTAACACAGTCCTCACCTGGGAGGGCGCCAGAGCCCCTGACGCACAGGGCTCAGCCAGCCCCCTGCCCCTGACCCCTGACCCCTGACCCTGCGCATCAGCATCGTTATGGTTACGGCGGAAATCTCTGAAGTTGCAGCCACGGGAGCCCCGACTGAAAGCCCCCTTACACAGTCCTGATGGACCCCCGAGAGCTAGTTCGGCCCGTGTGCCAACAGGCAGGAGGCAGAGACCGTGGCCCCATTCTAGGGAGGGGCAGACTGAGGCTCCGCGGGGCGAGTGCCTCGTCTAAGGGCTGCCAACAACTCTGCTTTCACTGCCGCCAAAAGCTGCCGAGTCCTCCTTAACGCATCCGTGCAGCTCGGCCGGCAGGGACCGACTTTCCCCATTAATTCGGGGCATGTTTATATGTACGTTTTAACTTTAATCATTTTCTGGTCTAAACCGAGGGCTTCCCTGCCTTTGGCAAGAGTGGGTCGTGCCTGAGTTTCTCATGAGTTTGCATCGTCTGAGAAACATGGGCAGAACCCTAGGGACGTAACCAGTGAGCCGGGTGATCTCTGCCCCCCACACCCCTGCTCTCCACCCCCACCCCCGGGGCTGCCCGCATCGCTCTGCGGTTCCGCCGTGAGCCAGCCGTCTACACTAGTGCCCGGGGAGAGACCTGCCAACGGGAGAAACCTTGCCCGCCGCCCCGCCTGCGCATCCCCGTCGCTCCCCCAGGCCGCGGCCCTCACTCAATCACCTGCTCAGCAGAGGAGAGGCTGACAGCCAATAAAAGCTTTGCAGGCCCTGCTTCTGGACAAGCCGGGATCACGTTCAGTAAACTGCCGGCCAGTGTCCTCCTATTTCCTTCCTCCAACGGCTGTTACCTGGCAGGTGACAGGCTCCTCCCCTCTGGCTGGCTGCTGGCCGCCCTGCCCGGGCCCTGGAGCCTCCTGGAGCCCAGGGTGGGCAGGCAACAGACCCCAGACCCTTCCCGCAGCAGGCCCAGCTGAGGCCCCGGGCACAGCCCTGCCCTGAGCTGCACACCCCTGGACCTCGGTCGTGGGAAGCGGGTGTGGGCAGTGGGGAGCATACCGAGATACCAGCTGAGCCTCAGGCCCCGACACCGGCTGCCACGAACCCGGAGACACGGGTCCCATCACTCCGGCTCACCGGGGGAAGCTGAGGTCAGGGAGGGTCAGCTGCACTACCAGGTCCTGAGTCAAAACCCAAAATCAGCCCCGGAGCCTGGGCCCAGCCACTGGCCTCACCCTGGGCCCCGCACAGTGATGGGGACAGGGCCTGAGGTCATTCTCGATCGGGGCCTCTCCTTCTGGACCTCAGTTTCCCTACTTGTAACAAGAAGAGGACAACTCCAGTCCTCCCTCCTGGCAGCTGTGGGTGAGGGGAGGCGCTGGACATGAGAGAGAAGTCAAAGCAGGGCTCGTGGGGGGCGTTGGGGGGGAGTCCAGGGTCCCCCCTATTGTGTGCAGATCCAGCCCTCTGCCTTCCAGGCCTTGCAGAGATCAGAGGAGAAGTGGGGTGAGGGAATCTGGGGACCTGGAAGGTGCCTGAAGAATTCACGTAAGAGGCGCCCAGTCCTGAGTCCCCTGCTGTGGGCCCCACACTGGGCGGGGCATTCCTACAGTCATCACCGGTCCCGGTCCCGGTCCCGGTCCCGAGCGGCTGGGCCAGGGAGGCCTTGTTAGCGGTTTCAGGGCTCGGTGCAGTCAATCCCAGTCGCACCGTGGGAAATGGGTGAGTCGGGGTCTGAGGCCAGGTGCTGCCTCCACAGGCTTCATTCAGCCCTGGCCGCCTGGGATGGGCCAGGTGTCGTGCCTTTGCCCCCTCTGATCCCCCCTGTGCCCCACAGCTTCTCTCCGAGAGCCAAGGCCACATGGCTCACCTGGTGAACTTGGTCAGTGACGTCCTTGACGCCCTGCACAGGGACCGGGGGCTGAGCCGGCCCCGAGTCAAGGCCGACCTTCAGAGGGCGCCTGCCCGGGGATCGCGGCCCCGGGGCTGTGCCAACGGTGAGTGGGGTGAGGGGCTGCCTTCCTTGGGTGATCTGGTGCCCAGCTCTGCCCCCCCTCCCATCATCCCCCACTGGCCGCGCGGATAAGGAAACAGGCTCCATTTGCCAAGGGCCTCCTGCTGCCGGCAGCATCGGGAGCCCCAGCCGCACCCCCTGCTGAGCCCTCCCCCAGCCCCACCAGGGGCCCATTGTGCCCATTTTCCAGATGAGGAAAGCGAGGCTCAGAGGTTGCTCACTCACCCAAACCCACCCAGGGAGTGGCCGAGCCAAGGTCTGACCCCACGGCTGGGTTCTGGAGCCCAAGGGACACCAGGTGGACAGACAAGGCAGAGGCCCCGGGACAGAGGGGCGGGCGGGG